GGCGCTTAGAATCCTTTTTGTCGCACCAGGAACGGCCGTGACACGTACACAGACAGACTGACTGCATAATCCTCGCTGCGCATGCGCGCAGGCGAGGGTTAAATATATAGGTTCGTCAACCTCTTCAGACTACTTCTGTGATTGTTTAACCTATTTCTAAGCTTCTGACTAGTCTCACCCATATTGCCACATTTACAAGATATTAAATACACAACATTATCTGAGGTGCAGGTCATAGATGTACTGTGGGTGATCACTCCATACGACTTTTTAGTCACATTACTGGTGAAAGTACTACCTTGAGAAATATGTTTACATGTTTTACAGCGTACAGAACCACAAGCACCTAGCTACTACACTACCACCAGTAGTATGTGCATGGACATCAGCCACAGCCCTTCCTTGAGTTGTAGGATTTGGGGATGTAGCATCATTAGCACACACTGGGACAGACAAACAGGTTTGACCAGACTTTAAAGGACACTGGTCATTGTCCACCACCTTGGTATGCCGGGCTGGTGGCTGCCCCCTACTGAACGACGCAAACACTAACATGCTAAATCTGACAGAAAGGGAAAACACTACTGTGTCCCCGCACATCCTGGTTCCGCAAATCCAAAAGAAGCCAGTGATAGCTAAGTTTCTGCCTAACACTGTAGTAAAGCCAGCCCATGCACCACTGTAAAAAACCCTTGTACTTTACATGTCAGTGTATATTGTTAGGTGTGAAAACTTAATATAGCTACCACAAAACCAGCAGTCAGAGAGATGACTTACATGAAATTATGGTTCATTACACAACTTACATACACAACTATGTGGTTTGAGTGGGATGTGTGGAGTCAGAATTCACGCCTTCTCTTTAGTGGTGATGCACACAGTGAACAAAAAACCGGCACTGCCACGCGAGCCTCGAGTATTTCCACCTTCAATTTCAAGACTTCGAGCTCCCTCACAAAGTCGAACATCACACCAGAATCTGGGGTTATGGAAACTGGTTCCTTCATGAGGGTTTTAGCTTCCTGGATGATGCCATCCTTCAGGCCCTGGCCAACCAAGCCCTCCAGTTCACTGGGTGTAAGTGCCACGCGCTTTACTGAGAATTGCTGAAGCAGACACATCGCCACGCAAACACCACGACGGATAGACGTGTCCTCGCGCCACTTCAATACTGGTGAGAACAGAACAATTGGGAGTAACAGACCGTCATTGAGGCAGAAGGGTGCAAAAGCTAGCCTCAAGTGGTGTTCGTCCATCAGAAAGCCAATGCATATGTTGGAAGCAAGGTATTCGCCTTTCAATCCCAGTGTACACATGTACTGCGCGAGTTGTGACATGTCTTTGGTTATCATAGCTTTCTTCGCCTCCACCGGTATGCAATAGATCGGCTTCTCTCTGACGTACCCCATTAGGGTATAGTCCACCCTCGGTTTTGCTCCAGGGGAATGCAGTCGACCTTCTGTTTTGGTCTCGACGTTTAGAAGAGACGAAAATGTTGAGCCACCCTCACTGCTGTCTGGAGCAGCGACAGTAGAAATGCTGTGCGCAACTTTACGCAGTAATGGCGTTATGAGTTCGCACCGCACATCCGCCTCACTTCTCACATAGCCGCCTGGCCGGATCATTAGGCCGGCTGATATGTCGATGACCACGCTGTGAAGAAACGTTGTCCAGAAGGACGCATTATGGAGCAGTGGGTTATGTGGATCCGAAAATAGCTGCTCCACTGCTTCCCGGATCACACCCAGGACAGCGTCCGCGGGACCCGGTAACGCAATATTGGGGACCACGTCGTACCACTGCGACGACGGAGGAGGTCTCCCACGCACACCTGAACGCCGAGGTGTCGTAGGCGAAGGAGAAGGATGTGGTGCGGAGGCTTCAGTGCTCGGGCTGCTGGCAGCTTGTGTCGCCCGCGGGCTGGCCGCCGCGGCAGGGGCGGAAGGCGGCGGCGGATAGCTGACACACCAAAACTCCCGTACCGCCTCTGAAAAGAGGTACCTCAACTCATCTCTGGCCTTTGACACCATCTCCGGCAAAGAGTCGCAGTTCGAACTTTCCTCCATCCTCTGCAAAAGCAGAACTGAGTGCCACACGCGCACGCAGTATTTATACACGTACATACCACGTGCACACCACGTGCATGCCCATGTAGTAAAAATCGTATTGCGCACGCGCGACCTAGTATCAGGGCCGGGCGCCACCCAACTGTAACCTGCTGGCCGATGAGATAACTGGGCACTCAGTACCACTGCTTTCCAAAAGTGCGTCTGTCTTACATTCTCGAGCTACAAGCAGACGTGGTGAGAGAAAATACACCAATCCCCTGCTGAACCCACTAAAATCAAGTGCAACTAGCCACCATGCATGCTCATTAGCATAGTATATACCCATGCCTTCTGCCTTCTCCCTCTCCATGAAGGTAATAATTACTATTGAGAGTATTAGAAGGCCTTGTCCATTTTTAGGAGGCCTTCGCAGAGTAGGTGAGAGAGCTGAGTAAGCTTTAGGACTGCATTTGTCCTGAACACAACGAAAACACTTTGTACCAAATGGAGTCATCCAGACAGTAAAGACAAGGAACCTCTCAGGGCACGTGATGCACATTGACATCTGCCATTTCAGAATGGAACTTGCTCATCTTCTATTGGACAATTGGCTGGTGAAGTTGAGGTTGGGTTGAAGTGTACGACTTGCCTGATAGCTTCGGAGCTGTTCGAGACTGGGCTGTGTTTCCCCTGATTCCGCAACGTGTCTAACTCTAGTTCGTACACGCTTTCTCACTAGTCACTGCCACCGCTGTTCTGTGGCGAGGCGTTCCCTCGCCTGTTCCCTATACTTCAAACGGCATTGAGGATGCCAAACCTCTCTCTGCTCAGGAGTCTCACGGGCACGATGTTAATGAAAAGAAACACACTTCTAGTTTTGACGTGGGTGTTGCATGGGCAGGGCTGAATGAGTCCCAACTTTGCTGCGTCATTTAGGTCAGAGTAACAAACCATTCCCCTTACGTTCATCAAACTCTTCGGATCTAACTTTTCGGTTCGTATCGGAGTTGAGCCTGAATCTACTCTGGATTGACCGCATAAGCCCAGAGTTCTTGAACTGTAAGAATGCAGATATCCGTCACCCGAAGAGACTGGTCATACTTATTTGTTTGTAACCAACATTGTTTACTGTAAACAACAACAAATAGCCCGAAGCAATACATTATAATGGGATCACATGTGTCAGTATAACTCACAAATGGTAAGAGCTATGTGAACGAAAGTTTCTATACATAATGTATTCAATAGCCAACATCAAAATCACAACAGTATATACATGTTTGTAAATAACAACAAATAGCCTCAGGCACTGTTAATTAACTTGTTTGCATGGGGTTGAATCAGGTGTCATTTTATAGAGGCCATTCCTATCTCGGAGGGTCTCTTATCAGAGGTTCCACTGTATTTGGACGTTTGGGAGTTAGGTTATAGGCTGCTCTTATGTTGTATATAAACCACAAGTTCCTGAAGAAGTATTTTTGCATGATGGTTGTGCAGGTGCAGCTGCTATTTCCCGAGTTATCCTGTCACACAATAACAGCATTTCCATCTGTCTGTCTGTCTTACATTCTCGAGCTGATCTTGGATCTTGTCCATGCAAAACACCGGAACAGGTATAGGCAGCGTACCACACATGACCTTTGTTCTTTTGTTCTAAGCACATAGTAGTCTTACGTGCATGATATTACGTATAAAATAGTGCATCATCTGACTTGCATTTTTATGAGTTATCTGAGGATGCATTGGTGGTGCAGTTCTATACCAGCTTGTAGAAAGGAGAGCCTGAATATTATAAGTGTTAGTTCATGCATAGAGACTGCAAAACCTGCAAGCTACATATGCACATACGTAACGTCGCTCCATTCCGGGTTTTTCAGGGGTCTAGGGGCTTTTGGTTCATTATTATATTACTATTATATCACTGGTGATTGTGGACAGAGCGGCTGGTAGGGGTTCAAATTTTCAACCCAACAACACAAAGGAAAACCTTCAAACCACTGTGCTATGGCACAGTATACTCTCACTCAGTCACTCAGTATATAATTATGTAGGAGCAGACAGGGGTAATTAAACCATAGAAGACGGCCCATTTGCTTCAAACTGAGTTATGCATGTGTCAACAACAAGGTGAGGTATATAAAAGCCAACTACACCAGGACAACTCAATGCATGGAGGAGGGGGAGGCGCTTGTGGGGGCAAACAGGAAGTTTGAATAGTATGAGGCAAAAGCTGTGTGTCTATATAGTAATGTAGCATACTAGTGTTCATGTGCGGAGATAGAGACACAGAGAAGTTGGTAAGGGGTAAAGGGATTGTGGTAACATGATACATGCAATAAAGCCAGGAACGATCTCTAGGGAAAATTTCCTCGGGATCGTTTTCGTCCATTATATTTATAGTGGGAGGACTCATCAGCTGGCCCCACTTGGCACATACAATGTACATTCGTACTGGAAAGTGGTCTGTGCGAAATGGGAAGAGGTCAGAACATATCACATGAGCATTCCACATGTACTACTCTCCTTGGGAGAGAGCAAGAGGGCCATGAAGTATAGAATTAGAATCCGTTGCTAGTTCACAGGCAAACTGCAACAAGCAATGCATGGTTGCCTGTGAACTAGCGACCGATCCACTTTCCCTTCTCTTGGAATGGCATGTTAGTGCACTCCAGGCTGGTATCCAGACTCATTAGGGAACAAATAGGACTTTTTAAGTATTTTGTTGGTTTTGTGCTGTCAAGGGCAAGGCTTGATTTTGTTAGTGGTGTGTAGAGTTAAAACGCTTGGCTATAAACAAATACTGCATAGGACAGAAAACCTTCGATATGTGCTCCCAATGCTTGGTTTGCTCAACCAAAACAAAAATGGTTTGTTACATTCATTCAACGTACCTCTCGTGTGTCTCCAGGATGTCTTTCCTACGCTGCTCCTTACGTCCTCTTCTCCATCCCATCCTGAAGGAGTGTGCACAAGACATGACAAAACAAGTGATACTGGAGAATATGTGGACAGCTGTTTCGGGCTTCTTAAGGCTATGACTTATACAATAGGCGTGGTGATGAATAGTATTATCTCCTCAGGGTGCTTGTGTGCACAAAAGGGGGTTATGGTGCTTGGTCAATGTGTTGCCACCAAGAAGCGACACCAGCAGGTCCATCTTTTGTACTAGGTTTCATTTTAGAAAATAAACATGCCTCTGACCTTCATTCTACAACACATGTACCCTATAGTTCAGGTGTTAGACAGTACCAGAGACTAATTGCGATTACTGAGTCCTATAGTCCATTTACTGTTTTGCCAGTGTTCGACTGCTCTTATATAGCACGCTAGTTTATACGTATAGGTTAACGTCTGGTTCTGAAGCGGTGTATACCAGCGATATCCCCGAAGCTGTTTACTCTAGCACCCGAGGGCTGGAGCACACCAAAGGGAGGGGTGTGTGCCCACTGGGTGGTGATACAGGGTCATCATAGGGTAATGGCCTCCAAAAACGCGGTCGAGGTAAGCCTGCGCTAATTTACATATTGGCTTGTTCACTTGGTTTTCACGCCATAACTTTACAACACAGTAGTTTTACGAAAATCACCGTTTTTAAAATCAACCCAGTGTAGCACTGAACCCGATGATGTCGGTATTTCCTGATTTCGTGCGCGCGGTGGCAGAAAACGTGGTAACAGACAGACGGACTGACGGACTGACAGACTGACAGACACACTTACGGGAAAACTACCGTAACCCTCGCTGCGCATGCGCACCGAGGGTTAATAACGCCAAAAACAGCAATAACGGCCAAATAACGCCAATAACAGCCCAATAACGGGCAAATAACGCCAATAACACCCCAATGACGCAAATAATAGCCCAATAACGACCCAATAAAGGCCCAATAACTTCCCTTAATAACGGCCCAATAACGGCCGAATAACACCAATAACGGTCCAATAACGGCCCAACGCCCCAATAACGGCAATGTAACGGCCCAATAATGCCAATAATGGCACAATAACGCCAATGACGACCCAATAACGTCAATAACGGCCCAATAATGCCAATAACGACCCCATAACGGCCCAATAACGCCCCTGTAATGGCCCAATAACGCCAATAACTTCCCAATAACGGCTTGATAACGCCCAATAACGGCCGAAAAACACCAATAACAGGCAAATAACACCAATATCACCCCAATAACGGCCCCAACAGCCCAAAAACGACCAAATAAAGGCCCAATAACTTCCCTTAATAACGGCCCAAATAACGGCAATGTAACGGCAATAACGGCACAATAACGCCAATAACGACCAAATAACGCCAATAACGGCCCCCAATAACGCCCCTGTAACGGCACAATAACGTCAACCAATAACGGCCCAATAATGCCAATAACGGCCCCCAATAATGCCAATAACACCCCCATAACAGCCCAATAACGCCTACAACTTCCCAATAACGGCTTGATAACGCCCAATGCCAATAACGGCCCAATAACACTCCATAACGGCCCAATAACGCCCCTGTAACGGCGCAATAACGCCAATAACGACCCAATCACGCCAAAAACGGCCTAATAACGCCCCCCAATAACGCCAATAACGGCCCAATAACGGCGGCCCAATAATGGCACAATAATGCCAATAACGACCAAATAACCCCAATAACGGCACAATTAATAACGACCCAATAACGGCCCAATAACGCCAATAACTTCCCAATAACGGCTTGATAACGCCCCAATAACGCCAATAACTTCCCGATAACGGCCTCAATAACGGCAATATAATGGCCCAATAATGCCACAATAACGGCAATATAACTTCTCAATAACGGCTTGATAACGCCCAATAATGCCAATAACGGCCCCCAATAACACCCCCATAACGGCCCAATAACGCCCCTGTAACGACCCCACTAACCCCAATAACGGCAATAACGGCACAATCAATAACGACCCAATAACTTCCCAATAGCGGCTTGATAACGCCCCAATAACGCCAATAACGGCCGAATAACACCAATAACGGGCCCGATAACGGCCCAATAATGCCAATAACTTCCCAATAACGGCTTGATAACGCCCCAATAAACGGGCCGAATAACGCCCCAATAACGGCAATATAACGGCCCAATAACACCAATAGCGCCCCAATTACGGAAATATAACGGCCCAATAACGCCAATAAAGCCCCCATAACGGCCCAATAACGCCCCTGTAACGGCACAATAACGCCAACCAATAACGGCCCAATAACGACCCAATAACGGCCCTATAACAGCTCAATAACGCCAATAAAGGCCCAATAACGCAGTTTTGATAATAAACAGGATGTTTTATATTAGAACTTACTGTACAGCCACCCTACACTATAGCTAAGACAAAATGACCTGCCATAATGAAAGTGCAAACCCTCGGTGAACTGCGCATGTGCGGTATATACCACTAATTGATGGGCTGGGCTTTTTATGCCTTTACTGGTGGTATCCCGCTAGTAGCTCGCGGAGAGTCAGGCACGGGCTAGCTACAGTAGTAAATAGCATGCGGGAGTCGATACATGCCGTTCGTTGTGACTTGTTGTGCCTTCAAGACACACAGAGCGAACGCGGTCGAGGTAAGCCTGTGCTAATTTACATATTGGCTTGTTCACTTGGTTTTCACGCCATAACTTTAAAACACAGTAGTTTTACGAAAATCGCCTTTTTTTAAAATCAGCCCAGTGTAGCACTGAACCCGATCATATCGCTATTTACCTGATTTTGTGCGCGCGGTGGCAGAAAACGTGGTAAAAGACTGACAGACTGACAGACTGACAGACACACTTACGGGACAACTACCGTAACCCTCGCTGCGCATGCGCGCCGAGGGTTAATAATGTCATTCTTGTAGTAATGTCTGCCATGTGTGTACGTACACATCCACACCACTGACTGCGATGGTGACCTGCACAGAGTGTGTAGAAAGACATGTGTATACAATAGCCACATCCGCAGGCTCTTTGTGGGAGCCTGGTACTCTTACTCTGGTGATCTTACAGCCAGGAGGAGGACAGCAACACAACAATACGCATGGCTATCCATAACAAAACAGCCAAGCCTCGTCCTATGGCGATAGAAGAAGACGATCATGCTAAAATCTAAACCAGCTACTGTGCGAGCGACAGAGCCTAGCTGGCTTAGATTTTAACGTGATTGTCTTCTTCTATCGCCTTCCTGTCATTCCAGTGGGCTCTGATTCTAATTGGTTTGAAAGATTTGAGCGAGCTCTACAATAGATAAAGACCCACCTATAAGGCTCTCCATAGTGTATGCAGGAGTTATTGGCCAGTGACAGGACAGTAGTAG